ACATCCACACACGCACCCAAATCCATTCCCACCCACACGCAAGCTCATGCCCAAATCCACGTCCACGCCCACACATATTTTTAAAAAAGGGGTTTACGGCTATTAACTAATGAATAATCCTAAAGATCCCCAAGACCCCATAGTTCTGTATCTTTAAGAAAAAGGGAATTTACAGCTATTAAGTGATGAATAGTTCTATGGATCTTCTAGTCCCACATCCTAAAAAAGGGGAAGTTTATAGCTATTAACTTATGAATAATCCTGAAGATTCCCCAAGACCTTATAGTTTCTCATCTTTAGAAAAAAGAAGGGGGGGGGGGGGGGGGGGGGGGGAGTGGATAGCTATTTAGTGTTGAACAAGTCTAAGGACTCCCTATTGCCCCATTTCTGTTTGAAATCGAATGCCTTTTTTTCGAAAATTCAAATTGAAATAAATACCTCATAGTATGCACACGCGCACGTATTGTTGCTGGTGTAAGACAACAAAAACATTCTTCATGTTGTTGTTCAGTTAGTTTTGCAAAACATTCACCACACATTTGATTATGTTGACAAGGATCATATTCATATGTAGCTGCATTTTCATAACAGATATGACAAATATCTTCAATTGTTTCCAAATTATTTAATATTGAAGGTGCCGTAATTAGATTTGCTGTCGTTGTGAATGGTTTTTTAATTCGTTTTACAGGTTCATGACTATTTTTGTTTATTGATAGACCTTAAATATTGATTATATATATATATATCACGGATGATGCAAACATTTTATATTAATTTTGTTTCCAACATAGTGGGACAACCAGTCATCATGGAATCTTCATAGTTTTCTTGTTAGAAATAGTAAGGTTTTTAATACAAATTCATGTAAAACTATTTTGTTCAGATTGCTTACGAAAGTTCGAAAAGTCCGTTTCATACTTCTTAGGTTTGAGAAAATATCTTTCATTCAGAAAGAAAGTTGGCCTTATTTTCTGACTTGTAGCAAACTATGCAGTACAAATAATAAACATTGTTAACAAGTAAAACTAAATTTTTGTAAGGTATCGACCAATGAGGAAACCTCTCCAGGTGCTGAATCATTTTTTAATCAAGACGATATTGCTTTAATAAGCATTTGTGATTAGCAGAAAAACTTGGAATAGTTTAGTTTGTCGGACCTTCTTTCATGAGACATTGAAGTTGTACTGAGTTTTTCAACAAATCGATGGAGTCCTTTACAAGTCAGACAGGATATTGTCTTTGACCTTCAAACCTTTCATAAGCAAAGTTTTCAATTAGTTTAGTTGATTTTGCAAGTTTTCACTTTTTTCTATGATTTCGTCTCAGTCTATGCAAATACATGAACAAAACTTACTCTTACAAAAAATGAGAAAATTTTAAAACTATTGAATATCTTTGGATAGAAAGTACAAGAGAAGCTACAACTTGTTCAATTACGATCCACAAAATTTTAATATCTCAAGATCAAAGACACCAAAGGCCAAATAATTATAGAATTTTCTGTTATTTGCTAGTTTTCATCAAATAAACGTTGCCTTGGTTGAAAAATATTTTGACGTCTGTTTTTAATTCCTTCCAGAAACCCACGAGTCTATTTCACCCTATTTCAGGCTCTAACGCAAGCTGATGGAACATTCATCAAATTTCTGTGGAGCGCACACTAGGCATTTCCAAGTTTCTAGAAGTTCTGGGAGAACATCATAGAGCCAAATCGATTATGATGAGAGACTAGATGGTCTATCTCTGTTTCTCTTGTGAATTGGAAAGTGAATTTTTTTAATAATTGAACTCAATTCTACTGAGTATTTCAAAAGTCCATCAAGAGAGTTAATTCGCATAAGTCTACTATGTATCAAACTTAAACAATCTTTTCTTTTTCAAATGATATTTAGCTTCATAAAGGTTTTATTTATACCAATATACCACAAGAATATTTTTCAAAATTATCGTATCTTCACTGAAATATAAAATTTTATCTTTTTTCGATTAAGAAAAAAAGTACTTTGTAATTTTTCATTGTAGATGCTTCATTGTCTTGTTTTTTGTTTTTGTGAAATTTAATATGTTACTATTATTGATGCTTCACCCGAAAAAGAAACTCAATAGTATCAGACCAAACGGTTATGAAGCTGATGAAACAACTTCGACTTTTCAAACAATGACTAATGAACTAAAAATGGTGAATTGGCCTTATGAGCTTCCTAACCATTTAATTTGACACTCTTAGTCTTCTTTTTCAGTGAACTATTCAAACACATGCATACCGACGATAGTACTAAGAATTCACACATTAACAGAAAAACAATTTGAAGTGTCTTTTCTAAGATATTTCAGTCAAAATTGATAATTCGATAGAGCTCGGTTCCAAAGTCATCGACCTAAATTATTTTCCTTCATCGAACGCGTTTTATTACTATTTATCACTTTAAAAATTAATTTGTTTCCTTCAATCAGGATTTAAAGAAAGTTATTTGCTATCGAACATTTTGGAATATTTAGACAAGAATGGTAGCGCAGGCTTCGAGAAAAAGTCCTAGCTGAATCAAACGATTTGGTCCTATGTCGTTGAAAATTTCATTGATTTTCCTGTTTCACCAAAAATTTTTTCTTCCATTCTTGTTTCGTCGAAACTATAAATTTCAATTAATCAATGAAAAGTAGATTACATCATTGGATGACACTATTCGTCATGCTTATCAGAAATAGTGCTTAATTACTTATAGATAAATTTGTCAAAAAAAAGTTTATTAGAGACTAAAATTAGATACATATATAACAAATAATTAGGAGTAACTATGAATAGTACCGAAGAAATCAATATTTTTTTATTCTCATTAATTCTAGAGGTTTTTCAAGACACTCATTCAGTGTTGATGTTTACTGTTAAAAACATTCTTCTAATTTATGTAATCTTGTATTTCGATTTACAAATAACTCTTTCTGTGGAAGTACTATACCAGTTACTAAAGGACGCGATTAGAAAACGACGTGATGTGGATGGTTATGAGTTTATGTGTAAGTTTAAGAAAGCAAATATTCATACCCATCCACCATACTCATGAACAACTTTCGCATTTCGAATAAATAGTTATGTTTAAAATTTTATCGTATGTATCGTGAAAAGTGTCAAGTATTAAAGTTGATCAATTATGTTTACTTTTAACAATAGATAGCATCATTTTGTTTAATAATCAATTAATATAGCAAAAAAAATAAATTTTCTGTTTTTAATCCACATATATATATATATATATATACACTTTTTCAAAACTACAGATTTTTAATGTAGAGATGACATTTAGTTTCATTTTGAGGAAATGATGTAAGTCAATCAAAGAGATAGAGCTTATCACTCTGATTATATTCTTTTTCATTATACTTGAAATCTTCGATGAGACAGGAACAGTTGATTTTTCATTTTCGACGAAACGGGAATGATCAAGAGGATATTTATCAAATTTTTCGGCGAAACAGGAATCTAATCAAATATTGCATTCATATACTGGTGCAAAGGATATTCTTGATTCTGCGCTGATCCATAAAGAGCAATGAAGATCGTACTTACGATCCGACACTATAGGAAATCAAATTGATACATTGAGAACATAGATATATAAATTATGTACTCTTATCATAGAAAAAAAATAGTTATTAAATGATATGAGTAAATGAGAAATATAAATAGATGAACGGTATTTTATTTCAGCAAACTTAAAAGAGAAGTTCTGAAGAGAAATTGCAAAATAAATACTGATCACAATTTGACCTTGCACTATTTTTATTATGTAACTTGATCTTACAATTCTGATTTTCAAAATGTTTTCGAATCCAATTGAATTATATTTACGGAACTCAAAAAAAAAACTCTTATAATTCAATTCAGTGGTCTGCAAAATTTTTCGTGAATTCGTGTTCACAATATTCATCAAGTCAATCAAATTAAACTTTTCAGCTCTAATTCAATTAGAGTTTAGTTAGTCTTCTATAGAAAAACAAAGAACCATTTGATAAAGCAGAATATTAACCATTATGAGAAAAATTTCATCAGGTATTGCAGAAAAAACATAATATGCCTTTGCAATTTCGAAAATCAAGAGTCAGAGAAGAATATACTTCAAGAAAACTATAGAGTATCCACGATGAATTGCTATAACATTATATTAAAAACAAAATTATTTCAGAACTTTTGCATAATTTCTCTTGCATTCAAAATGTTCAATATGATTTTCATACCAGTTTTATCGAAGGAAATGTATTTAAGTCGTTGTGTACCGCTCATTTCATATTTTTGTTTTGCATGTGAAACTACACATAGTTAAAATAAAAAATTTAATGAACTTATAAAATACATTAAAAAGTTGTACCTCGTAAAGACTCTTTCAAAATTCGATCTATATAAGCTTTGCCTCGCTTGTGTATTACATAATCACATAATGGATGAAATGTTGCATGCTCTTCAAATGGACAATCACTAAATTAAATTAAATAAAAGTAAGGAATAAGTAAGAGATATGAAGATGATCTACCGTGGTTCAAAATCACATAACTTATTGCCACAATAAAAACAACATACTTTACCATCACCCAAATAAATAAAACCAGCATCAGCCATAGCTACACTAGATAGGCGACTACCATTTGGATAAATCCAACTAGATTCAAATGATTGAATACGTTTTTCTATTGCCGAATATGATGGATATTCTGGATACCGCATATGACTTGCATTCTATACAAATAAAAAACAATTTTTTTTTACAAAATAAACGTCAACAAGAAAAATAAAACTCG